GGGTTTAGGGTTTAGGAGGTTTATAGATTGAACGGAGTTTACTTATACCCCCAACTACCCTGCAGTATTCCTTAGCTACCGTGGTATAGGATCCTAACCATAAGACCTTTGTATGCCAGAGAAGTTCTAGGTATGTTTTGAGTTTCAAACCGCTCCTAGGACTTCAGTCCAGAAGGACAGGCCCTCTGCTAAGCTCTAAACCCCAAACCCTAAGCCCCTAAACGGTTTAGGGTTTGGCTGGGATCCAAAAACCTACCGTTTTAAGGGTTAGACCCGCAAATTAAGGTCATAGCCCGCTATTTTGGATACACTGGGCTTTCGAGTGCCATACTTTAGTACTTTTTTGGGGACCTGTTCCTTAAAGGAACCAAATTATGAAATAAAAGTCCTAAACCCTAAACCCAAAACCCTAAACCCAAAACCCTGAACCCTAAACCCTGAACCCATGTTTTTTTTCTCCCTGCTTGCTTCAAAGCCCAGGGTAGGGTTTCGGATCAGGGCTTCAGGGCTTTAGGGTTTAGGGTTTAAGGCTTTAGGGCTGAGGCTTTAGGTTCTAGGGTTTGGAGTTCAGGGGCTTCAGGGCTTCGGGTTTAAGGGTTTAGGGTTTAGGGTTTAGGGTTTAGGGGTTTAGGGTTTAGGGTTTAGGGGTTCTTGAGGGAAGCCCAACATGCGTGCTTAAGGAAATGCCTTCCACTACTTGGTTGAACTTTACAGTCACTTTATAGCTTTCACTTTTAGGATTAGCCTTTTTTGATATTAGGGGTACTAAAAGTCAAGTTTTAGCAAGGTAATAAAGAGCCTTAAAGACTGTACATGAGCCCCCTCGCGCAGGTTTAGTTGGCGTTGCATAACTATAGGCTGTGGGGTTGATCTTTGATGTCCCCTAAGAAGCAAAACCATCAATCATTGAGCAACAAGGAGATGAGCACATACTGGCAAGAAATGGCGCCAAGCCACCGAACATACAGGGGAGCTGAGGAAGCAGAACAACAACAACCCCAACAACAACAACAACAACCACCCCACCGACCGACACCCAAAACAAAGATCAAGGACGTTGTCGTGCAAAGGGCGCCAAGTCTCTCCAGCTCCCCGACGTGCTGGGAAGGCCGTGTGCACGGATGTCGGTTGCTTGTTTCTCGTAGTTAAGG